TCAGGCTGGTCTCGAACTCCTGAGCTCAAACAATCCGCCCGCCTCGGCCTCCCAGAGTGCTAGGATTACAGGCGTGAGCCACCGCGCCTGGCCAAAATGTACTTTGTGACTCAAGTTGTGAAAATAAGGCCTATTTTCTATCCCACATATCATAAACTGTTTTCCTTGTTGCCCGGGTGGTGGGAACATATTCCGCTCGTATACATACATCGATTAAATTGAGTTTTCAGATGCTATTTCAGAAAAGGTCTCAGTGACTTTGGATCAAGGGAAATAAGTAATCTAAAAGAACATGCTACTGCTCAATCTTGTCAATTAATAACTGGCTCAGACAACAGGGTAAATATGCTTAATAACAGATTATGATGTAAGAGTCTTCCTGACACCCTTAATAATGCATATCCTAATCCCTCCTCTTATCTATGTTCAAGCTGGAAACATTCTTTAATTTCACTCAATAAAAAGGGACACTCTTTTTGTAGACTGGAGAGTATACTGAAACTAGATATTTCTTAGGACACCTGGTGTAAGATGAACCTTCAAAGTAGCTTGAAATTCACCTGAGAAACAAAATTTGATAATATCTTCATAGACACATAAAACCAAGAGTCAGGAGGAAATTCGTGGGTGACAGGCAAAGAAAGCATACATAAATATATCTGCTATCTGCTGCTTGTGTTCAAAGCTATGTCCCTGCAAAGTATTGAAAGAGGGTTCTGACATTTTTGTTTTAAAGATTGCATATCTTGAATTAAATAAACCACCTGATATATAAATATTATTCATGTTATATTTATTATATAGGTTTGCCCCACTCCCTCCAGGGAGAGATGACTCTGCAATGCCAGCTTTATCACAACATGTACCTCCTACTAGAAGAACAAAATTTGGTGTAAACTCAAGCATGGGGTTTAATTAATTGAGAAAATGTGTAGTATATAAAGAAGATCATATTCCTGCTAGTCGAGGCACCTCGCCAAGTGTTCTACAGGTGTGTTTCGCTCAAATATCCACCTGTGGATTTAAGGATGAGACCGTGAGGCTCGAAGAGGATGTACAATTTGTCTGCAACAGCTAGTAAGTGGAGAGCTGGGCTCTAAACTCACAACTGACTTCAAATATATTCCCCTCTCTCTTTTATATATATTCTCACTTTTCAAAACCCACAGACATATACACACACACACGTACATATATTCTCATTACCTCATCAAAGCAGTAAATTCTCAAAACTATAGATTGTTGACATCCCAGAAGTTCTCCAACAATTTCAATAGTTTTGCAATATTCTCAGAACAAACACTTTGCACAGTGCCTGGCCTATGGTACATCTTTAATTACATACTTTTCTTCTTTCCAAACAAGAGTTTAAAGATTTATCTATGCATTAGCTCAGGGATTCTCAACTCTGTATCTACCTTACATATGTACATAATCTTGGCAGTTTTTCTTTAAAAAAAAAAAAAAAACCTGAAGTTTGAGCCCCTCTACAAAATATTCCAATTCAATCAGTCTGGTGTAGGGCCCAGCATCTACATTCAAAGCAAATTTCCCCAGGTAATTCTAAACGCGGCCAGGGTTCAGAAGTATCATCGAGCCCAATCACATCCTCACTTTTCTTGGAACACCTTGCCCCTTTTCCCATTCCCAATGCATTGATCCCTCTCTCCATCCCCTGAGCCCTTCCCCCATCACTTCCTCATCAAATGTTTTCATCCTTTAAGTTTCATTTCAAACGTCTCTTCTTCCATTAAACCTCTGAGTCTCCAGCCAAAAGTAACTTAACTTTCTTGGAGCCCTCAAAGTCTCCCTGAGGATATGTCATAACACAGACATCTCAACTTTCTCTAGAAAGGGACGGGAAGTCATAACTATGTACCAAAGTGTTATGACATACCCAACCTGAAATAAGCAGCGCCATTTCTAATGATGTACTACTTACTTCATTACCTACTTATCAACAGGGACTGCGGAGATAGAGCAACGCTCAGAAAGACTGACAAATTGCTCCTTAAGTCAAAGGCAGACAGTATATCAAGCTGTGAGTTGAGGGGAAATAGTTGTTCCAAGCACGTGGAAGTCAAAGCCCTGAATGACACTACTGCTCTTAGAGGGCTGAAATGGGCACCCTCCCTCCGAATAACCTAACCTGGAGACCACGTGTACAATCTTCTGCTGTGGGAAAGGACACCGAGTTCTCTTCACGTAGTGCCAGTTAGGTGAAAGGTACGTGTGACACTCTGGAATGAAATTATACTCCTATTACATTCAGCAGGAGAGAGAAGCCTCACTCCTTTTTTCAGGTTTTTTTTTTTCCCTCTTCCCCATCTCCCAAGAAAAGCTCAATAGATTTATCTTGGGAATATAAAAAGGTTAATATTACCCCATCTCAGAAAACCCGTATCTTAAGTAAGGAATATCTAAAACAAATCAATAATTAAATCCATATTGTGCTCTCTATTTGAGGGAGACAACTCCAGAGGAAGAATCTATTTTTTCTATTCTATTTAAAACAACATATAATAAAATCGCACTTGAGTAGAAGGGTGAATGGATTATTTCTTTTTTCACTCTTAAAGTGTGATTTGTGGATAAAATTTGAGGAAAGGTCTTTCTTTCTGT